TGGTCTCTGGGGGCGGGGGTTGGTTTCGGGCGCACTCTGGCTTCGGGCGCACTCTGGCTTTGGTGTCCGCCCGCCCAGATTGGCTTTTCGGCAAAGCACTTCGGCCGCGGGAATGCGCAGGAGCCCCGGAGCGATGTATCCGGTGGAAGGAAAACGAAAAGGTCATGAGGAATACCGGAGGCTATGGACAGCGGGAGTTGGTCCTCCCCCAGTTAGCACGGGAGTCACAGAAAGCAGCAGGGGGCACACAAGCAATAGTGTGGACAAGCGTGGTAGTCTATGGAGGGATAGAATGCCTCCGCTCGTTGTTATCTCATTGAGATATGCTCCTGTCTTTACCGTTAGTTAGTTGAGCGCAATAGTGACGGAGAAGACGAAGAAAGGAGTTTTTCTCCGCTCGTAAGTTGTGTAATCGTGTTCGTGTGTGAGGTCTTGGCGTTTCGTTTTGTGGTGTTGGTTGTGCGCTATTGCCGCCGCTTCGTCCACTTGAGTATCGTTTGCCCGTCCGTTCCGCTGTCGCTACCCTAGGCCGATGCGACATTTAAAGCCAACAGACCATCTGTGTTAAGACAATGCACTGAGGGCTTCCACATAGTGAATTTTGCAGATTTGGACATTATTTTCCAGGCTTGGAACCAGATAAGTCTTTTGCCCATTTATTCTGTTAATACCTACAGCGGCCTGGGCCTGCAATACCGGTAGGTCTTGTTGGTGGAGATTGATAGAAAAATGATTAATAAGTTCTCAGAAGATCTCCCGCTTAGTAGGTAGTGCCCAGAAGGTAACAAGCCCAGAGCCGAATATGTAAGCTGGAGTAGAGACAACAGCTTAGCTCACCTGTATCCAGGAAGTTAGGAATCAAAAAGAAAAAAAAGAAGCACGTATTTCCCATGGGAACCCAGAAAAACATGGGGTTTAGATCGGAAATCTAGCTCTTGGGCCATTTCCATCCTAGAAAAAAATCAGTTTTCTAGATTCCTGGCTGATGATCACGATAGTAAAAATGAAATTACACAATATCGTGGAACTCAAGGATTAAAATTGGGAAGCCATTGCGGAGATCGCATCCCCAGGTATCAATAGCTTGTCAGTTGCGAATTTTGAAAGATTCTGGAATAATGGCTAGGTTGTGGAGGGTTGTGGTCTTGTGACGAGTTGATTCACGTGCCATTTACCCGTACCGATATCAGACTCGAGTAGAGTATCGTGTCATCCTAGCCCCGTGTGACCTTCGGTAAAGTACGCTTCCAAAAAGTTCCGTACGGCAACGGTTTTTACACCAAATATAGCTAAAAATGACCATTTTCAACATGACAGCCCCCAACAAGATCTCCTTGAAAACATTTAGAATTTTGATGCCAGTTAGGGGATCACTTGTCACTTAACCTCTGAAAATAGTGAGTAAGAATAGTTGGAATTGGGCTTATGATTCATAATTGTATCAGCCTTTGTGAAAGTGACCTGAAATTTTGTATGGGGCTCCATACAAAAAGGTACATGGCAACAGCATACCGCACACTTAACCAAAGTTTTCTCTATGGGTTCTTGATTTCCAAGAGCTCTGTAAGATTTTCTCTATTATCCATGGGTCAGGCAATACAGTATGAAAATTTGGGGAGTTTTTATTGGCATTAGTATTGATTGAGCAAGGTGTGAAAATGGATGCTTTTGGTGTAAAAAGGCCACCGTACGAAACCTTTTGGTATAGTACTTTAGCACTAGCCGCTTGCTCTACTTTCGCTGGGCTACATATGCGGCGTCCGTAGCGTGCGTGCTGACGCAGGCCGGCCCGGCCCGAAGGGCCCCACCAAACCATTATCGGTACCTCGTACGGTCGGCGGGTTGTGTCTCGCCTCTATACCTGGTTTTATGCGCCGGCTCGGATTTTAGATGCCTGATGGGCTTTGTTGTGGGGTGAAATCATGCGAGAAATGAAGCCAGAAAGAGGCCAAGGCCCTTTCCGAGCATGGGTCAAACAACTCTATTCTTATATCGCCAGGATTTGGCGGGCGCAAATCTGGTACTCTCAGGAGCTCCATCCGACGGAGCACTGTACCGGTACCGCTCTCTTAAAATACGCAGCTACCGTAGGGTGTGAGGGAGTGCTTTTGTATTCAGAGGATTGTAGACACCTTATCGTCTCATGAAGGAGGATTTCTTGTCGGGTGGAGATGCATGCACCAAATCCCGGCTACTGCCGAAGCTATGACCAAAACCCGATCGACTGGAGGGACATCACTCGAACTAAATTTAGCAGGGAGTTATAATAGCTATGTAGTCACAATGCCCATTGTTTTGTTCTCTCACGCCTCTACCCCGCCCGAGCAGCTAAACGGGGGTTGATCCTCCGGACTGCCTTGTGACGCTGTCGCTCTGATACTCATCCCGTACCATCTTACTAAATTATTAGGCTTTACCGAATTCGAACTACCCGGGCTAATATTCCTCCCATAACCCCCTCAAAACTAGACAGTTATTTATCGCCATATCCAAGGTATGATAGGGTCCTCGGCTACATATTTTGGAATACCATCTCTCGTGGTATTGACTTGTTTCAGGGCTAGCAAAACCATTTTGAACTAGCTAGCTCTGCTAGCGACGTATAGGCTACCCCTCCCGTTTTAGGTACCCTAGCCACATCTGATTACTTTTCTACTCGACCTGCGAAAATAGCCCGATAGAAAGCTGCATGATTGAGCACTTGATGGATCGGTGGGATCCCCTTCCCTCCAAGGTCTATGCTTTCGAAAATAATCAGCACCCGTCTAACAATCCTGCTAGAAAAACACAAGGCGATATCAGCGGAGACTTCAGCGGGAATACAGGGAGTCACAACGTTTCCGGCAGCCATAACACCAACAGCATAAACACGGGAAACCTGCACATTACCAATATCGGGCAGATAAATCACCTGTATGGGCTAAGAGCACAAGATAGAGGTATTACCAGCTCTCCTGGGAGATTTCAAGCAAAGGTCTAATGCGCGATCACAAGTAGAACCAGGACCCGGGCCTTATCGGATAATTCCTTATTGCAGAAACAGCAAGTTCACGGGCCGTCAGGATCTGATTGAGTCAATAAGGAGGCGTTCCGAGCGGAATTCCCACAACCGGATCGCACTTCATGGACTGGGCGGCTCTGGGTATGCACTCGTCACTGGTATTTCGGGGGTGTTCTAACGGTGCTTAGAAAGACTCAGATTGCCCTCGAATACGTTTACCGGAGCGCAAGCGAGAGAGACTGTGATGTTTACTGGGTGTACGGGGGTGGGGTGCAAAAGTTTAGAGAGGGTTTCAGAGCTATTGCACAACATGTTCGAATTCCGCTGGCCAGCGCCGAGACGGACCAAGAGGGATTCCTGTTAAACATAAAGAGGTGGTTTGAAGGTTCAGCTAGCGGTGATTGGATAATGGTCATTGATAATGCCGACAAAGGGGAGGACTTCACGGGCAACAGTGGCCCCATCTCCAAATTCGTACCACAAGGGCCCCGGGGTACGATAATATTCACCACCAGATCACTCCGGGTTGCATCCTGGCAAGGTTGCGAAAGAATAGATATTGGAAAAATGGAGGAGGATGAGGCGCGAGCCTTGTTCTTGAGACGCTTTGGTAGCCTGGACGGGTTGAATGAGCAAGAAAAAGAGGCCATCACAAGGATCCTAGAATCCGTACATCACATCCCACTGGCTATCGTTGGTGCAGCGGCCTTCATGACAGAAACCCAAACACCGCCATCTACTTACTGGGCCATTTTCCAAGAAAGCGACGAACGAGCAAAGAGTCTCCTTTCACAACCATTTTGGGACATACAACGCGAGGCGGATCTAACTGATAGCACCCTTGCGACGTACTTTGTTACTTGTGACTAGATCACCTGGCAGTTGCCCTTAGCTGCCAATCTTCTGCGCCTAATCGTCTGCTTCGATCGCCAGAATATACCCGAACAGCTATTGACCCAAAGTGGTTTGGAAGGGATACATGACCCAATTCAGTTTCGTCAGGCTATTGGAACGCTATTGGGATTTTCACTAGTTACCGCTGCCAAATTTGAGGACAAGACATTTTACGAGCTTCACCGTTTGGTCCAACTAGCTTTACAAGTGTATTTACCAACCGAAGAGTTGAAATTGTGGAGGGCCACTGCGCTGAAAGCGGTTTCAAGGCTATTCCTTCCGGATGAGAACACGGGGAGATATGTTGGTTCTGCATACATTCCCCATGCAATTGTAGTAACCAAAGATTCAACTGATCCCATCTCTGAAGAGATTTGTTTCCGCCTGGGATGCTACTTTCACGAGATGGGTTTCTACAACGATGCAGAAATTCAGTTGCGTCGATGTCTTGCACTCCGGGAAGGGAATAAAGAGCATGATTGGTATGGGAAGCGTTACCAGAGGGTTATGGACCTGGGTTGGATAAGCATAATGCAAGGAAAGGCGGAAGTAGGCGAGAAGATCTTGAGGGATTTATTAGAGGATGCCGAAGGATCGTGGGGCCCAAACAGTCGGAGAGTCATGGAAGTCGTCTACTGCCTGGCTGTGGCGCTAAAATCCCAGGGAAAGTATGTTGAGGCAGAGATAATGAGTCAGCGTGGACTGCAGGGGAAGGAGAGGATTCTTGGACCAGGCCACCCAGACACCCTAAGAAGCGTCAACAACCTAGCTAATATTCTGGGAGAGCAAGGAAAGTACGATGAATCAGAGACAATGCATCGGCGTGCACTGCAGGGGAAGGAGAGGATTCTTGGACCTGACCACCCGGACACCCTGTCAAGTGTCAACAACCTTGCTACTACGCTGAGGGACCAAGGAAAGTACGACGAATCAGAGATGATGCATCGGCGTGCACTGGAGGGGGGCGAGAGGATTCTTGGGCCAGACCGCCGACCCACCCTGCGAAGTGTTAGCAATCTTGCTATTACGTTGCGAGACCAAGGAGAGTGTGATGATTCACGAAGAATAGAGCAAAATTCACAGGGGCCCTCTGCTGGAACGCGAGAGCATAAGCGGCCACGATTTACACGCCGCGTTGTCAGTTATTTGCAAAGGACAGTTGTCTCCCGCAAGGGTGATCGGTCGACATAGTAACTCCTGCTACTGTAGGAAGTATGGTTGGACCGGAGGTGACAGGAGTGGGTTGCTAGTTCCAACTGGTGCAGAAACTTGGAGGGATCTACGGGGGAATGAGAGTAGAGCGTGCGGGACCCGCAAATATGGCGAACTCGATGCCCGGACTGGTGGGCTGTCGAGGTGTAGTGCGGAGGAAGTATCGGTCATTTTTACCTTCTGGAATTTTATCTTCCCTTGTTTTCCTTTCCCTTTTCATGATTTATTAGTTCATATTCAATAGGAAATAATGTCGCACGCCTTCTCACCCGGTAAGCTGCATGAAGTTCCGCCTCTACCCTTTGTAGTCACAAATAGTCACTCGCTTTGTATTATTAGGCCGGTTATAAATGCCAAAACACAGCTGCCTACTTGCCTCCCACCTCCCCCCTTCCCTGCTAGCAGATTTCCAGCTAGATTTCTGTTCAACTTCCCGAGTGCCTTGTGCCACCTTACACTCTAACCGGCTTCGAGCACCCGCGGTAATCCTTTATCTCCTAATACCATGTCCTCACCGGGGCCGGACAGCCTATGAATCCCAATCCTCAGACTGCCTCCCCCCTGCAACCGCACGGTCCAATCCGGAGTACTGCTGGCAGCCCCAACACCCCTGGCCTGTGCTGGCTTGTTCGTTACAATTACAGATTTTGCTTATACCGCAAGAATTTAGCATTTATTCCTTTTACATAATTTGTTTAAACGATGAGAGATTCAGGACCTATTTCCCAGTGGATGTGGAGGAGCTGATTACCTTGTTGCAAAGTTATGGAAAAGAGGTTAGAAGTCCGGAGGTGTGAGGCAGTGAGGAGAACAAAAAGGGCCTTGGGAAGATGAGAAAGAGAGGTAGCGAGGAAGATAGATGAGAGAAGTAATGGGAGGGAGCGGGAGCAGCAACAGATAAGAAATTGGGATACCATTCCGGGATACAAGAGACTCATGTGTGCAACGTCCACGAACGGTAGGAAATAACAAAATTAGGAGGGGAATTAAGAGGTTATCAGATTCTAAATGACAACCCTATCAATTGATAACAACCCCGCTATATTATTGTAGGCGAAAGTAAATTATCATTACTCTGCAACCGTCACTCAGTACACACTAGAGGGGAAGGAGAAAGCGATAGACTCAGGCCACCCTACCATACATACTACTGCTGGCACCCGTGCACCAGCATCTGACGGCTGGAGGAGCCACGATAGGACTAGGTAAAACGTCCGCACTCACTGGAATGGAGCAAGAAGGTACTATACTCGGCTGGGGGCGCATAGGACCCTGTGGCGCCCCCGGACTTCTGGTCTGCCTACTGGGTTTGTAGAACACAAAACACAGGTAATATGCTTAAGCCGGAAACGTTCTGCGCGTGCTTACGAGGGATTCCATAATGCTCCGGGAGCACAACCCATCACCCCCGAATGTATTCGGAAGTTGAAGGCGCTACAAGAAAACCGATCCCAGTCCCAGTGGAGCATAAGATGGACGAACGATGCAGTGTATAGTTATCTTTAAATAAGCACCTAATGCTAGAGATAAGGAATACGGTAGTGGTCTGATGGCTTAGTGGGAGTGACCATTATTTGTACGTGAAGTACCTTCATCGGCGAGCCCGGCCAGTCACAGAAGGCGAAGGAAATTACAGAGGGGATCCTATGGCGGTGGAATTCAATATATGTAAAGTGCAGAAGCTGATAACCGTAATCTAACAAGCCGAATGGGGTCGAATGATGCTTGGATCCCAAATTCTAGCCTTGATTCAAATCCTCAACTAAGGTTCAATCAATCACTTGGCCAGACAGTCTGTTTGCCCGCTATGTCGGGCGCCCCCCTGCACGGTGGAATGCAGTATTAAAATATTATAAATCTGAATAGGGCCCGGCTCTCGCGCAACGCTGAAGTAGGGTGAATCTAATAACGGGGGTGGGTGTATGCTCGGCGGTGGGGATGACGTGATTATTCATCTCGGGCCAATATGCACCTAAGTGGTCAGCATGGTCTCGGGCTAGACGTGGTTCTGTGGCACTTACTCAGTATGAATGCTGGTGACCCGACATCCAAGGATTAGAGGTATCAACGCCTCTTGCTTGTGGGGCTAAATCGCACGCGAAATTGATTTCTTTATTTCCTATGAGGGGAGTAAGCTCGGGCCTCCGGAATCCCTCACGGCCCGGCCTCCCACATCCATACCCGAGTTCTAGATGTGTCTCTTGTTTTGTTTGTTCTTTGGTTTGTAGGAGTGGAAGCAGTGTGGTGGAGTGCCCATTTAGAAGAAAGAGCGGCAGGTTATCCGTACAGGTCTACCAGTGAGGATGCGGCCTTCAGTGTGTACTTGATCCGATTCTACCACTTACCTATACAAAGGAAAGCTAGCAAGGTTAATGCGACTTCACTGTGTAGCAGGTTGTATCATACTCACGCTGGCACTATTGCCTCACATTAACATCTCCATCAATAATTGTCATGCTTAGTCACCATCTAGACTTTTGCGACTCTAATCAGGTGTTGTATGGATGGGGACAACCGACATGAGGCTCGGCAAACCAACCACGATAAATTCCAGGTTGCCAAGGCAACTTCGATGGATTGTCGGTTGAGCCCCACTTCTGTGTTAATTTTCGGCGACGCAGAAGGGTGCGCAGACTGGGTGAACAAAGTTGATGATGGATCATCTAGTGCCAGCGATGAAGGAGCAGGGACCGCGCTGGTCAACAACGGACATGAGGATATGGGTGCGGACCTACAAGCGATTTAAGATGACCAGTTCTTTGGCCATGAGGGGCCGGCCCATAACCTTTGCGACACCGGGATCGAAAACCTCATTTGTAGGAAGGGGTCCCGGTATGCTGCATTTTGGTCCGGATAGGCAGGGGGTGAGGTTAGACGGTGCAGTTGTGGGGAGTAGTGGTGAAGACATGGGCGGGGTGGGGGCGGGGGCGGAAGACGAAGATGTGGATTAAGAGGCGGTAAGATCTGCGCCTAATCTTAGACAAATTCTAGGGAGCACTACAAACTGGAGATGTATTGTCCTATGGAGGCTGTGGCCGGAGGAGTTTGCCGTAGTGGGATTTGTGGATGGGAAAAGGGTTTGTCGGTAACTTGGTATGCTTCCCACTCCCCTTCTTCTAAGAATCAAGCAATTAGCGGGTCGCCAGCCAATTTTATCAACCCTCCACATCCTCTCCCGCGACTCCCTTCTCCTCTCCACAGATCCCAACGAAATCCTCCGGCTCTACTGCACAAACGGCACTACGGACCCCCCCCCACGCCAGATCCCGGCACCTGCACAACACCCCTATATCAACAGCCCACTTCTACCTACCCGGCACAAGCACAATCTCCACCGGCAGGCGGAAATCTCTCTGCATCCTGTCGACAGGCACGATCCAAAAAGTGACTCGGGTATACGCTTGCACGGAGCTGCAGAGGTTAAGCGGGACCTTCCACATCACCCAAGGCGGAAAATTCACGGCTCTCGCCGCCAGGCGTGTTTTTACCGACGTCCTAAACACCGCATACCGTTCAACCTACGCGGCAAGGGTCGAAGGCTGGGGCGCAGAAGTGCCCTGGTGTGGTGGTAGTGGTGGCCTCACAGCAGGGAATAAGGCAGGCAGGGTACGGGAAATCGACGCACCCTTGAGAATGGTGGCTCCACGCTGGGAAGACCAGGGCTGACACATGGCCACCATCCTCAACAACAGCGGGGCCGGGTGGATGGCCACCGGTGGCCGGAACAGGATCGTAAATATCCGATCACACTAGGAGCTACGGTGACCGTAGCAATGCCCCCATCGGCGCAACCAAGGAAAGCACAAAGCCAGCTAGGGTACCCGGGTGATTGGTCACGGCCATCGGCATTATTTGGTCCCTGCCTAGTCACCGGATCCTCGTTACGGGGAGTAAATGGAAGAAGGGAGTTTGGAGGATGGGCACGTTCACGTCCCCCCCCCACCTTTATATGGCTGGCTATCTAATGAATGATGTTAACTTTTGTGCAGTGCATTCTCCTGCTTGTGCAGTCCACCAGAATTGGCCCCCGTCCTAGGCTCCCCTAGGTAGCGCCATGGCGATAGGTTGGGCGGGGAAGGAGAGGGGAGCCGTGGCCATCAGGAATGGATCTGGAAAGGTTAAGCTCTTGGGGTATAGTCTTAACTTGACTGAACAAAATTTATGGTTACAGATTATGCAGAAATATAGTGCTTGTGTTGTAACTACTAAGGACAATCCGTAGTAATTCTAACCTCTTCATTCGCTCAGTTTTCTGACCTTGGCACAGGTGGGCTAATCCTTGAACTTCTGCTTTCCCGTATGCTCCCTTTCGTCGCCGAATCATCGACGGTGGTTCGGTGAGCACAGGAGGGGCACAAGAAGATTCTTTGACCGGACCACCCCTACACCCTAACATGTTTTAGCGACCTGGCTGCGGTGTTCTGATGCCAGGACAAACGCAACCGATCAGAGGCAAGGAATCGGCACGCACTAGAGGGACACTAGAAGATTCCCGGGACCGACCAGCCAGGGGCCCAATTAAGTTCCAACTGCCTAGCTACGGTACTACGGCTCCAGTGGGAATGGAGTGACGTTCGGAGACAATGAGGCAGCGCGGCAGACACTGCGAGGAAACCTAGAGGATATGCGGCAGTAGTTTTCTTGCACTGTTGCCCGTTATTTTCCGGAGCGCTTCAGTCCTCCTCACGCGAGACAGGCGGACAAAACGATCTACCGGATTGCCGGTAGTTTGTCAGGACTAGAGGCGACAGGAGTGGCTACCAGTTTCTACAGGCGTAGAAGAGCCTAGGGACTACGGGGGGGGGGGGTGATTGTAGAGAGTGCCGGACTAACAGA